AGGGAACTAATATCTAAAATATATAAAGAATTACAACTCAGTGGCAGTAAAACAGATAACCCAACTGAAAAATGAGTAAAGTACTTGACTAGACATTTTTTCTAAAAAAGACATACAAATGTCACTTGTGATTTTTTAAATACAGCGTATTTTAGATACATGTATTTTATGTGTAATTTAAATTTAACTCTTCCTCTCACCTGGCAGTTCTGTACTGAGTGCCAGTGTCAAGTTGTTTACTGTAGTAGGCGTGGTCATGGATGTAAAGTTGTTGGTGGTTCTGTGCTGTAGGGAATTACTCTGAATAGGATAGAGGGTGGTAGGTCATAACCAAATCCCTAGTCCTAGCCTAAGACCCAGTAAGGTCAAGAGGAAGTTGTTCCTAGTCGCAAGGTTTTCCCTGCATGCTGCCTCGGATGGCAGCTTCCATGTATAGCTAAGAACAGAATGAAGCCACAGGCTTATTCAGAGACCTCAAGCTTCACAACTTCTCTTTATCATTTATAATTATGATTGTGACAACCCAGTCTGGTTTTGATGCTGTTATGTTTGAAGATAGATCCCAGCCACTGATCAGAGCACTCAGATGGGCCATCTTCACTAAAAGCCCAGGGTTTCTTTCTGTCTCCACAGCACCCCCAGCTCAGGGTAAAGTGCCCTAACCCTAGGACTAGTGAGAACCACCTTCCCAGTTCAGCTTTCTCCCCATCTATAGGTCCGTCTTCTCGCTCAGCATGTGGGTATTTCTTAGAGGGTGAGGGAGGTGATTTTTCAAATGGTTACCAAGAGCATAGAGAAAGTTAATTTACCTCTTAAAATTAGTTATATATTCCTTTTACATTGATGAAATTCATTCTCCGATTTTTTGTGTAATGTTGAGAGATTCTCAGTTTTGATTGAATAAGATCATAATCTCAGTTTTTTTAAAGCAAACACTTTCATGGAGCTTAATTGAAACAAGACCAGTTAAATGTTTTGAGATGGAGCTTTTGTGGAAAATGCTGAATGTTGGAGGAGGATGATGCAATGAGTTCTCGGGACTGAGGGCCTCCTTTCCCTAGATACTTGAAATTATATTAGGGCAATTAGATTATAACTCAAACTTCTGAAAACCATTTAGAGATAGATAAGAAATTCATTTCACTGTATTGTACTGTAAATTGTAAATGAGAGTCAAGATTGTTTCATAGGTTGAAGTTTTCAATTGAAATTTCCTTCTACGTTATTTTATATCTGTATGATTCACCATGACGTTTAGTTTGAAACCATAGTTTCAGAAATACTGATATTATTATATTATTTTCATCTAAATTGAAGTTATTTTTTTAAAAAATTGGTCCTGGCCACTTCTTTGTATCTCTCAAATTGCTACTTTCTTTGTCATTTTTAGAACTATTAATAGGTGGCTGATTGTATTGAGCCTGGGCATAGAATAAAATAAGTACAGTGGTCTCCCTTATCTGTGATTTTGCCTTCTGCATTTTTAGCCCCAGTCAACCTTGATCCAAAAACATTAAATGGAAAATTCCAGAAATAAGCCATTTATAAGTTTTAAATTTCACGCTGCCCTAGCTATCGTGGTGAAATTTCACAGTCTCAGCCAGGACATGAATTATTTCTTTGCCCTGTGTGTCCATGCTGTCTTTCCTACCCACCTGTGAGTCACATAGTAGTTGTTTTGGTTTGAGATCGGAAAAGCGTAGTATATATAAGGTTTAGTACTATTCGTGGTTTCCGCCATCCACTTGGGGGTCTGCAGATAATGGGGGGACTACTATACAATATTTTAGCATGATTGGGGAGCTAAAGCATAGTTCCTACTATTCTTGTCAGAAAATGGGCAAAAAATGTTCAGTCCCATATTTTTATTATCAGGTCACACAACTTGTGAAGTAGCGACATGGACAGGAGACGGGGAAATAGTGGGTAGAAGAAGGCGGTTCCACAGTAAAGGTCCCACCCTCAAGCCTGGAAGCCTACAGCCCTCCTTAATGGGAACAGGCATTCCTGTTTTTGTACCCACAAGCTGCCTTTTGGCCCACCACCACCCCCTATACTATGCCCATATAAACCTGAGATCTCAGGCTTCAGAAAGAGACGAGTTGAACAGAAGAGCAGAACGGCATAGCAGAGAGAAGAGAAGGAGCATCTGAATGCTGAGAGGAGTTCACCTGGGGATGATCGGAGGGGAGACAGGTCACTGGACAGCCAAACTTGAGGGAAAGATCATCTTCCCACTCCATTTCCCTTCCATCCCACTGGGAGCCACCTCCCTCACCCACTAAAAGCCCCACATTCATCCTTCAAGGCCATGTGTGACCTGATTTTTCCTGGATGCTAGACAAGAGCTTGGGATACAGAAAGCTATCACACTGGCCCTCTGCCTTTGTGAAAAGGCAGAGGGTCCACTGAGCTGTCTAACACTTAAGCTGCCTATGGATGGCAAGGCTAAAAGAACACACTGTAACAAGCGACCACTTGGGCTTCAGGAGTCACAGACACATCTCTGGACGCTGCCCTGGGGCTGAAGCCCAGGGGCACTCGTCCCAGCTCCTGCACCTGTGACTCTGTGGCTCCCCTTCCCATAAGGGGTTTAAGCATGGATTGCTGCCAAATAGACAAGTCACACCGCTGTGGCACGTCCTGCAAAGTAAGTCAGGGAACCCTCTTGTTTCAGTAGATAAATTTGATGAAAATAATGCTCTCCTGAGGAATGATCCTATACGTGGTGTGTGTGTGTGTGTGGGCGTGCGTGTGTGTATATGTGTGTGCATGCATGCACGCACACACATGTGCCATGACTTTTAGTATGTGCATATGTACATGAGATCTTGTTTGAGCAATAGTGTCATTTAATTGGCTAATGGGAACAAGCCCCAATGCTCTTCTCTCTACAAGGCTCCTGTTTGTCTCTTTCTTGCAAGCGTTCCTCATTGCATGTTCTTTTCCTAAGAGCCAACAAGTCTTTTCATATCTTGGAGACAGTGAAAATTTCAAAACCATCTTGCTTGTGGTGTTTCAGGGACTCTTCCCTAGGCTGCTGCTGTAGTAGGCGAAATGTGTTGGTTTTGACTCTGAGTCTCATGCGTAGGTTACCGAATGGCAGATTCTTAGCTCTGTGACTGCCATGGCTCAGCAAGCACCCTGAGCTGAAGATCGAGTGGTTTTAACTTACCTCCTGATGGTCTTGGTGGAACAGTCCTGGCATACTCGAGCCATTCATCCAATACATCCTTGAGGGACTCTCATGTGCCTGGCATTGTCCTAGGTGTTTGGAATACATATGTGAAAGCCACAAAAATGGCTGTGCTCTTGGAGTCTGTATCAGACTCCTTCATGACTTTCAGTTGCCCCCCTTCTGGAATGAGAGGTCACTATTCCAGGCTATGGGAATGCAGTCATTTGCTTGGCTTTTTTTTTTTTTAAAGCTTCTAATTTTGTATAATGTGACACCATTGCTGCCCTCAGGGAATATGTGTGTGACAGAGACAGACAGAAGGGCAGGCAGACATATAAGCACTTTGCCACCAGCAGGCTGGCTTCATGCCATAATAAGGTAGGAGCAGTGACTCCAAGGGGAGGCAGGAGAAGGAAAGAGCGACTCTTCAACTGGGGTGGGATTTTTTTGACAGAGGTTCTTCTTGGCTTGGCCTGTGGTCACTGAGAGTGCTTCGAGGGTGTGACAGTGGGGCATGTGGGAATGGATGTAGCAGACAACGAGGGTCTCCACCCTCTGCCTTTGCAGAGATGGGCAAGGCTGAGTGTTGGAAGGGCTTGAACACACACTGGAGTATTCTGTGAGAGCCAGTGGATTTCAGAGGACGGCAATGACACCACTTGCCTTCTGCCTTGGGAGGATAATTGATGGCAGTGTGTGGGATGCAGTGGAGAGCAAAACTGGGTTGCACACTGGGAGATCAGCTAGATGATTTTCTTTCATTTATTTTTATTCATTCAACACACATTCATCTGGGGTTCCCTATGTGCCCAGTGCAGGATGTTTCCAAACAGTTCAGGTGTCAGTAAGCATAGTTGTGGCAGTAGGAGTGGGAAGGCTGGGATGGGTGTGAGAGGCATTACAAAGGGGATGCGGGAGTGGCACCCCAGAAAGGCCTAGTTTAAGGTGTCAATGGATGTGTGCACACGTGTGCAGGGGTTTTCTCAAGGGTGGCGGGCAGCTGAAAATTGAGGTCAGGTGCTTAAAGAACAACTCGTTGTGTAGGACCCCACTTTGTGGTCAAATGCAGAGGTTTTTGAGAATCCCCAGTAATTTCTTAAACTCAGGCTGGGAGGTTATTCAGCCAGGGAACTCCACAAAGAGCGTTGACACTTGGGTTGAAGTGAACTTCTCAAAATAAATTTTCTAAGTGCTCGCCAGTTTTAGATGCCAGTTTAAGAAGAGTTAAACCACTTTCTAACTCATCTTTCAAGTTTGAAATGTATATTTTTGTTTTTTTCATTCCCAGTGACTGAAAGATACATATGAAGACAACTTTGGGGGCTGTAGGTGGGCATCTCAGTCTCTTTTGCTGAGTTTCACTTGCTGTCTGCTTCACTCATCAGTGGTGTAGAAAACTGCAGCAGTCCGCCCTACACACAGGCATCATCCCTCACAATGGCTGGATAATCCCAGATTTAATTCCAAACAGAGAAAACTGATTTCATTTATGTTTTGTGATAAGAGGTACAGAGAAGAACTGAAAGCAATATAATGACTTGTGAAAAAATGCTTCCGCTGCTCTGGAAGACCCAGCCCATTTCCCCTGGTTAAGGAGGGGTGTTGCATTTTAAACATGTGGTGGTGGTTATTCATTGTACTTTTTTTTTTTTAAGGTAGGAAATGTTCTTTGGACTGAGTTAAATGCTGCTCAGCATAAAAGACTCCGTGGAACAAAGCCTGTGGACTGTGACTATTTGACATGCCCTGGGCTTAATAAGAAGACAGAATGTCTCTAATCGCAGCAGAACAAATACTCACAAAGGGTCTCCTTCCCTCCTAGGACTTCCTTCGCCGGGCATCTGGCTGGGATTCTTGTTGGACTAATGTACACTCAGGGGCCTCTGAAGAAAATCATGAAAGCATGTGCAGGTAGAGAATAAAACGCCTTTGGCATGACAACAAGTTAGAAGTTCATCTTAATGTGAACAGAAACGACCCCAAGTTTCCCTGTGGTTCAACTCAGGAATTCCCTAATATGTTTTCCTTTTTAAACCAAAAGGTAAAACACCAGTGCAGTTGCTTACGTTGCTCCTCAAAAGAGGCTGCAAAGTTAAATTGTGAATCTGATACTTTCGTAGGGGACAAGTATCATTATATATTTATACCTTCAACCTTAATGCTACCCACAGAAAACCACGATTTCCTAAAAAATGCAGAGAACGAAAGTGCATTTAAAATAATGCATTCCTCTAGAATATGCCATGAATTAATATATGTGCAAGGCAAAGCTAAAAAAGAAAACAAAGCCTGGCTGGACTGAAGTGCAAGGCCAGTGTTTTAAAGAATTCAGAATGATGACCGGGTCCTTGGTGGTTGAGCCATATATTCATGCATAGCCAAGCCAAGTCTGTTATTGCTTGAAGCTTAGCTCCTGTTTTTTTTTTTTTTTTTTTTTTTTTTTTTAATTTTTTTTTTTTTAAATTTTGTTTTTTTTCCCTTCAAATTGATACTCAATGAAAATTCATTTAGAAGTACTTGCAATTTTTAGACCTCTTAATTTTAAATGCTATACTGATTTTGACTTGTAAGAAAACTGGTTTGCAAACACTTGTTTTATAGAGTGAGTTCCAATATTTCATCTTTTATTCATATGAAATCTTCTGAGACTATTTTACCTTTTCTTGAACCATAAATAATTTGTTTCACAGTTTGTGCTGATGACTGGTATTCTTGAGAACCATATAATATTCATGATATTAGAAAGCTTTGCAGGCACTGCTCTGGCACCTTTATGAGCAGGCTATGTTCACTTTTGGTTGATTTTTACAGACTGTGTTGCATCTCAGCAGATTCTCATTTTCCCGCATTTGCTTATTAATGTGTTTCTACTGTTTGTACTTACAGGAGGCAGTGGGAGCTTCATATATTGAAAATGTCCAGTTTTATTATATTTTCAATACAATTTGATACTGATTAGTACTGATAAAAGAGATGATTCTCAGGAGTTTAATGTCTTGTTTCTTTTTTCTGTGTGTTTTTGATGGAGTGGTTAGTAAAGCTTTGCAGACATGTTATGAAATTTAAGCAAGTACTTTGCTTAATTTTTAAAGAGGATATTCCCCATAATTATAATATTTAAACTCTTAGTTTTAAAAGCCTTAAAAAATAAGCGGAGACTTATTTTTATACCACTCTATTTTCAAAGCAATAAATACAATAGAAAATTAAATAGGAAAATTAGAACACTTAGTGCAATTTGCAAACAGCCTGCAAACTTGGCTTTTTTCTGCGAGCTGAGAACTGAAGGACACAGGAACCTTATAGAAAATGACCCAGCATGTGGAAGCTACTGTTTGATGCCTCCTGGAAAAAGAGGGTCACCCTGAGGGTGTGCCCCTTGCCCCTCCCTCTCTACTTTCATTCTGCTGTGCCAGTTGACTAAGTCGGCAGTCCTACTGCCTTCTATAGGGACAAGAAAGAGTAAAGTGCCCTAGGAAGGGTACGGAGCAGGCTCTCCTAACACCCTTGTTTGAGGAAGGTGCTCCATTTACCTGGCGCATCTCTACTTGTACAGAGGCATCAAAGCCAAGCCTTGGTACTTTGGCAGGCAAAGACTAAGAAATTTTAGTGAGTGTGAATTAGGGTTTCATTGTCTGCTCCCTACCCCCAAACACACACAAACTCTCTCTCTCCCTCTCTCTCTTCCCTACATAGGGCTGGCCCCCAAACAAAAGGGAGTTTACCTTGGGCCTTCTCCCAGAGAACTGCCTAATTACTGGAACAATTAGCACTTAAAGCTTTATGGCTGCCATTAAAATGTTTGTTTCTTTTATGTTTAGGCATTTTTCCCTCCAATGCTGGTTACCCAGGACAGCAATACTACTTTAATAGTTCAGGTAAGCATTTTATTTCATTTCATAAATTTTAACTTCTTTTTAAAATTATAGTATTCAGCTCTACAGAGTACCTTAGGATACCAGTTTATGTTGTGGTAGAGTAGTTCACATGTTAGGTAACTGTGCCTCTAACATGCCTGGAAGCTAGATAGAGGGGTAACCTAGGGAGCGCATTTGTGGGGGTTGGTAGGGAAAGATTCCTATTAGACCTTGGTACTTTGAGTTTTAGTCTGAAACTGTACTCCTGGCAAAGTGTTAGAAGTTGATTTTAGGTATACAGTTCTCCACAGCCCAGCCCATCTATATTCAGGAAACCCTTGCATACCCTAAGATGCTCTAGTAAATGCCATGTGACTTAATGAGGAAGAATGTACTTTTTTCTAAATGTCTGTGTAGATAGATAGAAAGGAATTCCTGTTAAAAGTATAAGACCTATTTCAGGCTAAAGCCTTTGCATTCCAGTCTGGGGTGGCTACACAGTAGTATCTTGGATCAGGCCCAGCAGACAGGTGTTAGCCGTGGCCATTGCAACACTCATGCCTTAATGCAATGAATTGAATGGGCGCCTCCCAAAATTCATATGTTGAAATCCTAACCCCTAATGTGATGGTTTTAGTAGAGTAGGGATTTGGGGAAAAATTAGGTCATGAGGGTAGCACCCTCATGAATGGGATCAGTGTCCTTATAAAAGCGACCCTAAAGAGCTCTCTAGCCTCTTCACTGCCGCATGAGGATACAAGAAGTTTGTGATGCCACCGTGATCAGTTCTGGTAAGGACCTTCTTTTGCAGCCTGGGAGAGGGTCCTTACGAGAACTGATCGTGCTGGCATTTTAGACTTCCAGCCTCCAGACTGTGAGAAATAAGTTCTGTTGCTTATGCCTGCCAGCCTATGGCTGTTTGCACAGCATCACAGATGGACTAAGATATGTTTCTCTTTATATTAATTGATGACCATTATGGCTTAAAGCTAAGACTAGCAGTATTTTCTTTAAAGGACTGGACAGCTAATATTTCAGGCTATAAGGGCTTTATTGGCCATATAGTCTCTGCCGCAACTGTTAACCTGTCTTTGTGGCATGAAAGCTGCCACAGACAATGTGTAAACAAGTGGGTATAGGTGTGTTCCAATAGAATCTTATTCCTAGCCCCTGCCTTTTCTATTGTGTAAGGATATGAGATGGGCACTCTGCCAATTGAACCTTACAAAATAGGGTAGTTCTACTTACTTTCTCTCTCTCTCTTCTGTATTCCATTTATTTTCTATTTTTTTAAAAAAGAGAACAGCTTCTTTTCTTCTTATGTGGAAGAAGTATGCACACAACAGACAGGCAGAGAATTAGGGGCAAAAATAAAAAGACCTTTTTACCTCTTTTAGCCTCTTGTAAGATTACCGTATTTATATGCCTTTCTCTGAAGTGATTGGATTTCTTCAAAGGCAGTGCGACAAAAGGCCAGGTGGCTATGCTAATGGTCATCTAGGGAACTTTTATGAGAGCATATGTATATCTTACAAGTAATGATTTATTCTTAATATGGTTGTCCTTAGCTGGAAAAGTCTTTATAGGTCAGAGAACCTCATGAATGTTTAAAAAGCTGTTACCAATTTTTCTAATCTCAGTGGTGTTTCTTGATCTCCTTTGCCATGAAAGCCTGGTATGTATATAAGGAACAGATGGAGTAGTTAATAGAATAATGATAACTAGAGTTTCTTTTACTAAAAAAAAAAAAAATTAAACTAGTATTCATCTCAGGACATAATTTATGTGTATTTAAGTATCTGATTGCTAGGTTTTTCCAGGAATGTTTGTTATGAAGACTTAAAAACATCTGAGTGGGTGAGTGAAATAGCCGTAGAAAATTTTTGGTCCTACGGGAGGGGGCCAGTTCTCATTATAATAGATACCGATGAGATTTTTGGTTCTGTTGATGATTTATGATTGATGATATAGAAACCACACTGGTCTTTCTGATTTAAGGCACCAGAACTTTCCCATTTTCTTTCCCCATGTCTTGTCTGACAAGTTCCAAATTAGGTTTTATAATACTCAGATGTTTAGAGTTGTTGACTTTATTTCGTTGAAGAACTGTGAGATTATTTTAAAGTAAGAAACAGTATGAAGAAAAATGTTTTTCTGCATCAAGAAAATGTTGCCTGAAATCATTGCATGTGTATCTGGCAATTAAAACTCTACATAAATATATAATTTCTATGTGGTGAGCTAATATTCAGAGACTTTGGGTTATTTTGGCTTTTGAATTAACTGAGCATTTTTGGGGGTGGATAGGTAGAAATGCTGCTTAGATCTCACATACCACAATGCCTTTCCACAGGGGTTTGAAAGTGATAATGAGCCATGTGGGAAGTTACCCAATATGCTTTTTGTGTTCCTGTAAAATAATTGGCACTTTTAGGGAACTGGGCAGTTTCTCTATGGAGGGATTGCTGAAGCATCCCATAGTATTCAATGACGTGCCTATAAATATTCTATTAGTGTTGCAGAGTGGTTGCTGCTTTCTTTTATTCTTTGTGGAGATATATTAATTGTGTTTTCCCTATTTGTCCGTATACGAAAGATCTTTTTTTTTNATAAGGAATGAAAAGATTTGTAAAAACACTACCATGGTCTCCTTTACTCTCAAGGTATGAAAGTTGCTGATTGGGTGTTCCTCAACACAGCAATGGGAGCTGAATTTTTCTGATTCTATTGGATAAAGACCAGCTTATGAATAACTGTTCATATTTAAAATTGCGTCAAGATCCAAATTCAGTTTTAAGCCATTGTGAAGATTTGGAAAGGGTACTTGTCTCCTTCTTCTATTTTAAATATCAATAATGTTAATATTTTGACATGGGAAACAGGTGAGAGAAGATATGAAAGTTGAGCTGTTGGAGGGATTTAGTAAATCCTCATTAATGTTTACTGCACTGGGGCAAGGCTTTTCAGAATTAGTCTCCAAAATCCTAAACAATTTTGTTTAATGTTTATTTAAGTCATTTCTTTCTTTCTTTCTTTCTTTCTTTTTTACTTTCATGGACATTCAGTAAAGTAGAATCAAGCTAGAAGAGCTTTATCATAAGCCCTAAGAGTGGACAAAAGATCTGGATAAACATTTCTCCAAGAAGATATATACATGGCCAATAAGCACATAAAAAGATGCTCAACATTATTAGTCATCAAAACCACAGTGAGATACCACTTCATGCCCTAGGATGTTTGTAAATAAAAAGGCAAATAGTAGCAAGTGTTAGTGAGAATGTGGAGAAATTGGAACCCTCATACACTGCTTATAGGAATAGAAAGTGGTACAGCTACTTTGGAAAACATTCTGGCATTTCCTCAGATAGTTAAACAGAATTGCCATGTGATGTAGCAGTTCCACTTCTGGGTATCTACTCAAAAGAAATAAAGGCATATGTCCACATAAAAACTTGCTCATAAATGCTTATCACAGCATTATTCATAATACTTGAAAGGTAGAAATAATACAAATGTCTATCAGTTGATGCATAGATAAATAAAATGTGGTATAAACCATACAGTAGAATATTATTTGCCCATAAAAAAGAATGAAGTACTGATAAATGTAACAAAACTGATGAACCTGGATAGCATACTAAGTGAAATAAGCTAGACACAAAATGCCACATATTATATGATTTAGTTTATATGAGTCATCCAAAATAGGCATATTCTGTAGAGACAGAAATTATTAGTACTTACTTCGACCTGGAGAAGGGATGGGAAGCTGAGGATTGTTAGCTGAAGAGTACAGATATCTTTTTGGGGATGATGAAAATGTCCAAAATTGATTGTGTGGTAATGACAGTGCAACTCTAAAATATACCAAAAACCATTTAGTTGTATACTTTAAATTGATAAATTGTATGGATGTCACTTATGTCTCAATAAAGCTCTTCTAAAAACATTAATAGACACAACTACTTTTCATGGCAAATATTTAATAAACATAATTATATTAGGCTATCAGCTGAAAGTATGTGTTTTGCCATTTGTTGTTTATATGAAAAAAGCCTACTAGAATGCTGATTAACAGTTTCCCTTTTAATGTTACATATTAGGAAACATAAACAATACAACAGTAAATTTTAAAATAGCCTCAGGACCAACTGTCAAAAATTCTGAAAATGAAATCTCAATTAATGAGATTCTGCCATTTTGGCTGGATTGTATTTTTTTTTTTCTGTAGCCTTACTAAATCTCTGACTCAGGCATGTACTGCTGGACTGTGTGGGATCATATGGAGATCTATGACAAAGATTCATAGTAAACATTAGGAATCTTCATCAACAACCAAAACTACATTATTTAAATATTTGAAACATCACCTTCAAAGAACATAATAATGGCAGGAAAGAAGAGAAAAAAATCAAACAGACTATTTTACTTCTCTCTCTTTATGCCAGAATGAGATTGATAATCTCCTGTGGGGGAAAAAAAAAAAATCTCTTCCAAACAAATTCTCTAACTATTGGGCAGTTAAAGAAAATGTAAGGAATAAACTCAAACTGAAAAGATGCATGGGAATATCTTGCAAAAGTGAACTTTTCTCTGCTATTGACCTTTATTAATGGGGTACTTAAGTTTGGTACCTAAAACATTATTTAATGACCAGGTTGTCTCTTCTCTCTTGTTTTATCTAGCAACCATTTTTTTTTTTTTTTTTTTTTTTTGGTGGTGGGGGGACTGTAATCTCTGGCATAGAATTACAGTTACAGAGAAATTGGCTGCATCTTAATGTTATTGTCTGAAGTATTCCGTGGCATCTGTATAAAACATTGGTCTGCCTCTCATTGTACAGAGCAATAAAACAATAAGGCTTTATCAGCTATTGTTTCCACCATTCTCTTGACTCAAGCCAGGAGGACTTGATGGAAAACTATCCAAGTGTTGAGTAGTCTTAAGCTGAAAGAATCCACTCAGTATGTCAATAGCTCATTCCAGTCTCTTCTCCAGGACTTCTGACTACCCTCTGAATTAATATCTCCTTTCCTCATTAGCACATAAGGGCTTATTCATGCCCAGTGCCATGGTGGGCACTGAGGATACAACAGTGACAAGACAATCATTGCCCACCTTTGCAGGTCGTTCTCCATTTGTCATCTTTTCTTATTTTGAGGATAATTTTTATGCTTAAAATAATGTTATGCCTTACTTGTTTGTCTTTGCTTATACAAAACAGGAAGTATAAAACAAAGAATAGTCCATAGCTGTGTTCTCTAACCTTTTCCTTGTGCCTGTAGGCAGCTCTGGATATCAGGATTATTATCCTTATGGCAGCCCAGGTCACTCTGAAGAAGCACCCAGGAACTATGATGCATACACAGCAGGACTGAGTGAAGAAGAACAGCTTGAGAGAGCATTACAAGCCAGCCTCTGGGACCGAGGTAGGAATCTTGCACCCTTCAGTTATTTTAAAGCATTCCTCATGTGGTAAGGTTAGTCTGAAAAAGGGCTATTTGTAGCAAGTTAAATTTTAAATAGTTCAGAAAAAGGATATGTAGATGAAAAATGTGTGCAGATTGTGATTACAAAGAATGGGGTGTGATGCCTGCCATGTTCCCAGTAACCTAAGCTAATAAGGTGCCAGACTGTGTATGTATTGTTAAAGTGATTCTTTTTATAGGCCTGCTGCTCTTTGGTGCCTTGGCATTAAAATCAAGAAACTTAAAATTCTTAGGTGCATAAAGAAAAGAGAAAATTACTTTGGAATTCATATTTGTAAAGAAAGCTCAGTGTCTCTAAGTATCAAAATATTGCCCATCAACCTCCTGCAGATCTCCCTCAACATCACATGGGCTCAGAATTCAGGCTTAGGTTTGACTTCTGCTGAACCAATCTGTCTAGGGGTAGAGTCTAGAAATTTATATTTTGAACAGGCTTTCCAGGAGATTCTTTTACAAACTGATATCTGAAAAAAACACTGTATTTATTCTGCCATCTTTGTTCTATGTTTGGATTATGAGTTTGGGTATTACTGTTTTTATTGTTTGAGTACTGACTAAAAGTCATCTATTCATTTAAAGGGTGTTTATCAACGTCTTATGTTTCATGTATGATGACAGGGACAACAGGGAACATTGAGTGGTAAAAGATGGAGCCTACCCTCAAAAAGTTAACAATCTGTGTTTGGGCATATGCCTACTAGATGTGATACCACACAGGTAACCCTAATATCAGGTGACTAAGAGAGGCTTAGGCGAGGTGCTAGAGGTAGGGAGAAAATGGGGAGCTTTTCCTGCCTAGAACTATCAGATTTTCACAGAGGAGATAGCGTTTGAGTTGGACCTTCGAGAATGCATAGAACTTGAAGAGCTGTGGACGGACTTTCTCTGCAGAAGTCTGAGTATCAGCACGGACACAGAAGTTAGGGTCATGTTCGCCAGCCCTCACTTTTAAATGGACAATAAGCAAAGAAAGGGAAGAAGAGCGGGAAACTAGGATGGGGCCAGATCACAGGGGTCCTAGAATTAAATAGGCCAAGTGGAAAGCGGATTTAGTATGTCGTATAAATGCCAATAGAGTTCTGCATGGGAGACTGATGTGGTCAGAGCTGTGTTATAAGAATTTGGTAGTAGCAGGCATTCTGCAAACAAGATTGAGCACCAGTCAGGTACCAAGCATTATGCTAGATGATGAGAGTACATAAATTATGACAATACAGCTTCTGACTTTAAGGAATGCAGTCTTAGCAGCAACAGTGTGCATGGAGGTGGGGAATGACAATAAGCAGGGAGACAAGTAGGAAGATTATATTGCAGTAGCCTGAACAAGAAAGGAAAGCCTAAATTATGAAGGTGGCAGAAGTGGAGAGGAAGGCATAAATCTGTATTTCTCAGGTGAACAGTTACAGAACTGTGATAATATTTCAGTAACCTTTCACTGTGTAAAGGGTCACCCTGAAACTCATGGATAAAAACAGTAAACAGTGGTCTGCTGGGGGCTGGCTGCTCTAGGGTGGCTTCCTCTGCATGCCTGCCTGACTGTTTGATGGTGGTGGTACTCCACGCCTCAGCCCATTCCTCATCCAGCAGGGTAGCCTAGGCTCATCCACCAGGCTGCAGCATAAGGTTTACAGGAGAGTGCAGAAATAAACAAGTCTTATGCTGGCACAATGTCAGTTCCACTGTATTCTGTATACTGTTAACGAAGCAGGTAACAAGACCAGCTCAGATTCATGGGATAGGGAGATAGCTTTTCCCTTTTGGAGGAACAGCAAAGTCACATGTGATGGTTATGGATAGAGGGAGAGGTGGAGAATTGTAGCCATTTTTGTAATCACTGTATCACATGTAGTTAGTGGACTGCCAGTAGCACAGTCATTCAAAAGCGTAACTTAGCCATGGAATCCTGAAATCTGGAGAAGAGGCCCCAGAGCCTGTATTTTTAATAGATTCTCATGGTTATTCTTGTGCACACATGGGTTTAATCACCACTGGGCTATCCATGAACTATTAGGGGACAAGTAAGGCAAGACGGACTCTCAGCATGGACTTTGCATAGTCCGTCTCTGTCCCCATCTAGGCTGACTTCAAATAAAATCCCAAGACACAGCATGATGGGAAAGATTGGGATTTATATTTGGGTGACATCATCTGATTATTACCTTCTGTTACGAAAATGTGTATTCTAAAGTAAGAAGCCTTCAAAAATAATTAAAGAGTGATGAAAACTCAGAGGGAAAAATTAGGTAGCCCAAGTGAGAATATTTGAATGTGAGACATAGAAAACCTCCCGTGTTAAATGTAGTCAGAGAAAAGAAATGCAAGAAGACAAGCATACTTTTTGTAGTTTTATTTCTAAAGGTTTGCTATATGCCCCGATTAGTAATTATACAGGAAGTTAGTACTAATAGTGCAGGTGTCTTTTTTAGAAAGAGAAAGAAAATAATGATTTTCTTCAATAATGAGACATGAGCATGGACGATCTGTAGATGAAAGCATCCTCTGATGGCCCTGGTGACTTTGTAGCAATTTTGGAGATGTGAATCCAGCTACAATGGAAGAGTCTACATTTTGGGAGTCAGAAGGAAGTTGGAATAGATTTTTGAGGCCGTTTCCTTAATAAAAAATGTGTTTATTATTAAGTTAATACAAGTCATTAATATTAATTTTTTTCTGTTTAATAAATGGTATTTAAATATTTACTAACAGGCAGAAAAAAAAAAAGGCACAGGGTACCTTGAGAGATTTCAGAAAGTCATCTGATAGTAGTGTTGCTTTTTTATAAATTTAAATCTTATTCTTAAAAGAACTTCTTGCAAAAATAACTCTCAAGAGAGTATACTAAACAGAAATCGAAACAACTTAAAATTTTTTTACTGCCCCTATTTTAGATTATTTTTATGTTTTTTCATCTTTTCCTTAAAACATTTCAGTGAAGCTAAGAAATGAATTCTTTTTACTTAAAAGGTTTTTACACATCAGTTGCTATAAGACTTGCTTGGTGAGAAGATTATTTCTGGGATTATTTTGAAGCCAAGGGTTTTGTTTCTACCTCTGTCTAACTAGTTTCTTGGTCTGAAAAAATCTAGCTGCTTCTTTATGGGTATGGAGTTAAGTTCTAAAACTCCTCACAGTATAAGATTGCTAGGACTAAATGATCCAGAGTTTGTGCTGAATTATTTCTGCTACCTGACCTTTTATTTTAACAAAATCATAGATTATTTTCCTCCTTTTTCCTTCATCCTACACATGTATTTTCAGAATTTAAAGCCTTCTCTTCTTTTTATTCATGAAAAATCACAAAAGTATGTAGAACTTCTTTGTCTCTCAAATGGCCACTTGGTACCTCTGAAACAGAGTGGCCTTGTTTAGCATTTTGAATTACAGTGAAATAAATAAATAATTTTAAAAAGAAAAGAAATCATAAAAGTGAATAGTTAATTGATGATTTTTGAATACAGGACTGTCTAAACAGAAAAGTAAGGAAAAAATTATGGAAGATAGACCAGTAAAATCTTTAACAAAGAATTATTATAATCAGTATGTAAAGAACTCATCATATCATGAAATCATTAATACTAACTCCTATTAGAAAAATGGAAAATAATTTTAACATATAATCCAAAGACTTATAAGTGACCCATGTGCATCTAAAAAATAATGTGCTATATACTAGCAGAGAGTTACTTAGTTTCTTCATCTCACCACATTTATTTTTTATTTTTATTTTAAATTTTTGTGGGTACATAGCAGGTGTATATATTTGTGGGGTACATGAGAACTTTGACACAGGCATGCAATGTGTAATACTTACATTAGGGTAAATGGGGTATCCATCACCTCAAACATTTGTCCTTTCTTTGTATTACAAACAATCCAGTTCTATTCTTAGTTATTTTTAAATGTACAACAATTATTCTTGACTGTAGTCACCTTGTTGTGCTATTACAAACTACATCTTACTCATTCTATCTAATTATTTTTTGTACCCATTAACCATCTTCATTTCCTCTCATCCTCCACCCCAGCATCTGGTAACCATTATTCCACTCTCTATCTCCATGAGTTTGTTTTAATAGCTCCCACAAATAAATGAGAACATGGAAAGTTTGTCTTTCTGTGTCTGGCACATTTCACTTAACATGGTGACCTCCACTTCCATCTATGTTGTTGCAAATGACAGGATCTCGTTTTTTTGTTTTTTTGTTTTTTTTTAATGGATGAATAGTATTCTATTCTATATAAGTACCACATTTTCTTTGTCCATTCATCTGTTGTTGGATACTTAGGCTGCTCTCAAATCTTGGCTACCCTGAATAGTGCCACAGTAAACATGGGAATATAGATATCTCTTTGATATAATGATTTCCTTTCTTTTGGGCATATACCTAGCAGTGGGATTGCTGGATTATATGGTAGCTCTATATTTACTTTTCTGTGGAACCTCCAAACTCTTCTCCATAGTGGTTGTACTAATTTACATTCACACCAAAACTGTACAAGGATTCCCTTTTCTCCATATCCTCGCCAGCATTTGTTATTGCCTGTCTCTGGGATAAAAGCCATTTTAAACTGGGGTTAGATGATTTCTCATTGTAGTTTTGATTTGCATTTCTCTGAGGATCAGTGATATTGAGAACCTTTTCATATGCCTTTTTGCCATTTGTATGAGAAATGGCAAATTTGAGAAACGTCTATTTGGATCTTTTACACAGTTTAAAATTAGACTATTAGATTTTATCCTATATATAAGCAGCTGTTTGAACTCCTTATATATTCTGGTTATTAATATCTTGTCACATGGATAGTTTGCACATATTTTCTCGCATTCTGTGAGTTGTCTCTTTGTTGATTGTTTTCTTTCCTAGAAAGAAAGTTTTTAACATGATGTGATCCCATTTGCTGATTTTTGCTTTTTTACCTGTGCTTGTGGAGTATTACTC